GTAATTTGAAGGAACAGGGCAGGGAACAGACGTTCGGCGTCTATGCATTCGAGCATATAATGCACATTGATAAGAGAAACCATGAAATGGCGATTTTTCAGTAAAGGTATTCCGGCTCTACCATAACCGTAGTTGTAAAGCTTATTGTAGCTGCAACGATTTTTTCTTAGATACAATTTTTCTTCACATTTGTATTCTTCCTCAGCGCATGAAAATTCATTTAGTTTAATGTGGTTGGACACATTTAAAATACATGCTTTCCAGGACAACTGAGGGCGCTGTTGCAGTAAGGTCATCTGCATGTGTAGGGAAGACATGGGCCCTTTTCCAATACTCGACTTGGGCTCCGTCTCAGGCTTCGTTCCCAAAACCAATCCGCGATTGTGGGCCTGAAGGGTTTAAATTAAATTAGATTACTGTAATTTCTGGCTCTCTTGCATCTTATTTGATGCTTTGTGGCACTATTAAACTAATTACTGCGCTTACAACTTCAACGTTAGCTAGTTAAAAAACAGTTGCAGCCTGAGACAGAGCCGAAGTTGAGTATTGGAAAACGTGCATGTGTAGGTGTCTCTGTTCAAATTGTGAACCAAAAATTTACTAACTGATAACATTATTTAGAAAGGGATTGATGGTTTCGTATTGCACTGGACGTAAACAACAGTGAACTAGAAAAGAATATAAAGCAGAGTCAAGGAAAATCTACAAAAATGTAGGACTTTGTGTATAAACCAATATGACATCAGAGTTTTGCTCATGAATATGGAAATAATTATTAGCATTAAACCCACAAGGTGGTGAAACAAAAGTTGAAAATAAGGTTAATTGAAAGACAAAGGTGCATTTTCGCAGCTTTTATTTTAAAAATTGATTGCAGCTACCCCTTAATCAAAAAGTGGGTCTTGCCTATTATGGGGCGTGGTGATTTTTAAAATACGGAGCGGAGGGTGAAATTGGCTCCTACTGTTTTCCTGTATTTGAATTTTTACTTTTATTTCTTTGATGTACAGTAATTTTGACGCCAGGCAATACTGCGTGGTTACCAAAACTTTGATTTTGAAAACTCTCCAAAAATTTCAACTTTTTTTCCTTTCAACGTGTTTAATCTAAAGTGTTCTACGTCAACTTTGCCAGAACAACAACAACAAAATTACCTAATCTTTTAAACGATGGGATCGCAAATTGTGCACATGTAGCTTCGAGTTGACTCACTAAGTTATACTCAAGTTCATACTAAGATTGCAAGCAGTTGTGATGAAGTAGTGGATTCTGATAGCTGGTCATGTTGACCCAGTGGTACTTTCTTTGTCTTCCACTTTTTGTGATGTGGGTTCGAATCCCACCGAGGTCCACGTGTGAATCAGGCTTTGAGTCCTAATCTGACTCTGTAGGAGAATCATCAGTAGCATAGCCAATGCATGCACAGGAATGGCTATTTTAGACGTAAAATCAGGCCATTCAAAAGCAGTTAATGGACTGCAAATGCCAAATTGGGAGATTCAAAAAGATCATATGATTTCCAACCAAAATACTTTATCTTGCCAGCTTTATCACATCTTCGCTGTGCAACTAAAACGAAAACAAACTTGTATTTCGTATGAGGGAAACAAAATCCTGGCAAGGGGGATTATCTCTGTGCCCGTCTTTCTTTCTCTAAGTCAGTCGGTGATTGAGACGTCTGTAGTGGTAAGCAGGATGTCGTGGGCTCGAGTCCCGCCCGAGTAAACTTGTGCATTTTTTTCGCAAACTCTCGGACAAACCCGTGTTTAGAATTAACACCTCTCCGACGCAAAATACATCTGGAAACCTATAAGCACACTCTAAAAACCAATTGGTTGAAAAGAGCCAACAGTTTGGTTATTTTCAACCAATTGGATTGGTAGATATGTGTCCAACCAGAATATCAATTAAATGAACCAATCTTGAATTGTTTTTTGTCCATCCAATCCATTATGGTTATGAGACCAACCTTAACGGTTAAGTTTACCAATCTATAATGATAGTTAACAACCAGTGTTTTGGTTAGAGTGCAGTCAGTTACATATGACCAATTCAAATGGTAATGTAATGACCAAAAAGAATGGTTCCAAAATAATCATTGTCATTGGTCAAAACAGTTATAATAGTTAAAATGACCAGTTCATTGGCTACAGTATGACAAATAAGTTGCTTGATTTTTCAGATGATGGACGACGACCAGTGCACTAGAACTAGCCAATATGTTTGAAATGAATAGCAAATATGTAATGAATTAACTAGGGCGGGATTTGAACCCGCGACCTCCAGAATACAGTACTGGCGTTCTACGAACTAAGTTGTCCTGCACTACCCTTCCCATTTGTCAATATCTTTGTTCAGGGTGCTAGTCAGAAGCCATAAAACCTGAAATATCTTGTAGCCAGGATCGGGCCCCAAGACTTGATGCAACATAGGGTATGGCGAATAGGGATCACTCCGGAAGATACGGCTTTTTGAACCCAAATCATCAAGTAAACTACGAGGGGAATCAGACTAGGTGCTTATTAGTTGTAAAGCTGAACAAAAATTGATTTGTGAGATTTCAATATGCGACTCTAGGATACCGTTCCGGTGCTCTACCAACTGTGCTATTTAACCCCATACGTTGGCAGCCCTTCCCGGCCATTTGTCACTTATAATAATGTAGGGGTCTTGGGATTCCCCGGTGTGATTACTTTTGAAGTGAATAAGAAATCTGACCTACCGGTCTCTGTCACGAGATCAGAGCCTGGGTATGAGCTTCCCTTGCCGTGTGAAGACTTACGATATCTCAAAGCCACACCCTTTCGGCTAGAAGTCGCTTACATTGTATTACATTTTGGCGGGACCTGAGATATTCTTAGGTTTTTCTCAGTGACAGTTCCCACGCTTGAGACCTGCACTTTGGTGGGCTGGCAATCACGGCAGCATGGCTCCTTGTGGGATAACTTAAGCCCTTTTTCCGTTTGCTTTAGAGTTTACGGCAAATTGGGGCAATTTTTTAGACGTCAGGGTAAAGAACTTTTGAATGTACAGAGACATTTGTAAGTGTGAATTTATCACCGAAATACCGAATGTAACGTTTATTACGATGTACATGTAAGCCATCACTCAATAATAGTATGTCCTCTGTCTTCCTTTATGTTTATTTTTGGGGGGTTCTTTAGGTTACACTTTCATTGCTGATTGACACCTTGGAATAAATCGAAGGGAATCAAGCCACAGTCGCCTAGAGTCCAGTTTTTTGCCTGGTTTTGCGCCTACTATCCTCCTTAATTGGCGGACGGATCTTCATCCTCCTGACAACGGCAGAAGGACCGGACCGCTACAATAACAATAATAATAATACAGGTATTTATAAAGCGCCCTTAATATAGATCAAAGCGCTCTACGTCATTATTATCTCTGTTACCACTTACCAATACTATTGGTTGAAAAAATGAACAGATTGGTTTTGGGTTCAACCAACAGGATTTGTTGAAGGAGAACCAACATAATGACCAATATGTTATTTCATTTCGTGGTAGAATGCTCAACCAATGTGCTTGATTGAAGAACAACCAACGCATTTGTTACAACTTAACCAATACACTGGTCGAAAACAACCAATAGTGTGTCGACCATTGAGATTGGTGGTCTTTTTAACCGAAACGTTTTAAAGTGCAGTTAGTTACTTAAGTAATCTTAACATATCCGGAGTACTTTGCTTTATTGGTCAAGTGTGCTGTTCTTAGTATCGGTCAGAAAGGACCGTGAGTAGAAAATTAATGTGCGGGTAAAGTTGTGGGCAGAGTTGTCTAAGTCTCTCCAAAGGTCACCGTCTGGGTGGGTGGTGAAAGACTGGACAGACAGTGCGGCACCGCTCCTATATACCAGTTATTTTGGCATAGGTAGCACCAGTAATTCGCCGATATAGGGGTCACCCTAGTGAGGGGTGCTGATTGCGGAGCGCGGATACACGTCGTTGGTTGCAAAGTGTAGAGTAGAGTTATTAGCTGCACTTTGCGGCGTGCGGATTATTGAAATGTTGTTTTGTATTATATGTTATTATTCTTTTGTAACTCTTGTATGAAAGAGGTATCTTCCAACAGTGATTACATTAGTTAAAGAAAAGTAGACCTATATTAAACCAGTTCATCTGATCTTGTCGGTAATTCCTCGTGTCCGAACATGCTCATTGTTGTGTCAGTCGATTGGGTCCCCAAATCAATTATCAGTCGGTGGTATGTTTCCGCCAAAAGTCCCCTAACTCCTGGACCTCAAACCTGTTTAGGTCAGGTGACTTTCCCTGCACGTGGAAATAGTTCACCCAGACTGGTGAGGCCCAGACTGGCTCGCGGTGGCAGCATTTCTTGCTTTAGCAATTCACTTTTCATGAACAAGATTTAACTTCGAACCGATCAAAATACTATTTTACTTCATACCTTACATTAATTTTGTTACCAACTTCTATATGTTTGTTGAATTTCTCTGGTGTGTTTGTACTTTTTGCCTGCTTTTAGAAGTACCCGTTTAGTCAGATTCCTACAGCTGCACAACCTTCACAAATCAGTTTTTCCGCAACTTTGTTTTTTTCTTCAAAGTACGAAAATTCCTGTAGATTCCTATTTGGTTGAATGCATTAAAAAGTCCTATTTAAAATTATCCATGCCCTCCTGAACAACTAAGAGCGCAGTTGCTGGGGTACCATATAGGGAAGTTTCCTGGAATGACATCACAATTTTGCTCATAAATATTGAAATTTCGTTAGCATTAAAACGAAAATAAAGGCGGTAAAATACTATGAAGTAGGGAAAGAAATATTGACGATAAATGTAACTGAGTTATTAACGTGCAGTTGGAACGTTGGTATTAATCCAAAATGATTGAAGCTTCTCGAAACCAGCATTCTGCGTGGACACATTAACACATAAATGTAGTTTGACGCCGCGAGGGGGTTAGCCCCCAATATCATTTGGGACAGGGTGTGCTTCACACTGGAGAAAAGACGTCTGCAACACAAATTACGCCACAGCCTGCACCTGACCATTTCGTCTTTATTTCTGATGTTTTGGCCCCCCAAAATATTCCTGGGTATGTTACTAGGTTTTCTGTAAATAATATATAAATACAAACACAAGATAGTGAGAATTGACGTACGCAAATAGGTAGTAAGGACTCAACAAATAAAAGCCGTCACAGCTCAATTTAACACTAACTTGTCGTAGTCCTATATGTACATGTATTCAGTTTGCAGGTAACAGAGCAAAATGTGGCTAAAATTTATGCATCCCAAACCAACAGAAAGTTATTAAATGCATCTTCTAGTAAACCTCACTGTCACAAGAAACCACATAAAGAATTAACTTACCACAGGCGCTGGAGGAAATAACCCCTTTTTAGCTCAGCATATTGCCATGAAGAGAGCTCATGGCGCACTCATTGAAAAACAGCAGACTTGCACCAAAATCTGCTTGTCTCGGTCAATCTGTGAGCCGCTCACTATTCCTACGCCGTTTAATATGCCCAAATTATAAACACAGCTGAAGTAAACTTAGAAAGATCTCAATTTAAATGCAAAGTTATTCCCTTAAGCAATATTTAATAATTTAATAATTTTTCTACAAGGTACTGCCTTAAAAGAATAGCATTGGTGACCTATATCTGTTGTGCAAAAATTCAATGTTTACATTTCTCTACGTAGTGATGAATTGCAAAAGTATACCTTTTGCAGGCAAAACGAAATGACACATAGACTGGCTACCTGAATTAGAAAATAAAATTGGGTTTAGAAATAGACAGGCTGCCTGTCCTATGAACTGAGGAAGTCTCCCACATTAACCGAGACTGTTATCTGTTGTCTTTCAAGTAGGATATTCAGAGATTATTCCTCCTTTTAGATGATTTATCAACAAATTAACCTATCATTAAAGCAATACATTTCTCAATCAATAAACTCCGATTAAATGTCCTCAAAATGATTTATTGCGCTTGCGTTATCTAACAGCATTATTTTAAGTCTAACACATTACCGATGTCGTTAATGAATAACATACAGTTATCGTGGAAATCGAGTTAGAATTGATTGACGGTCGATTAACGTAATGTATTTCTGATATCAGATCAAATATTCTCGTCGCAAATTTGCAAAAGTTGAACATATTTCAACTTGAGCTAGCTTTCGAGGCATTTCATGACGTCAAATTTGCTTCACTTTCGCATGAAGTATGAACCGACCGTAACACGCTATGTGCCCTACCGTCGCTCTGGGCATGGGATACACACTTTGCTGATTCGATGCATAGGATGAATCAATCAGCTGATGGAAACCTGTGCCAGAGGGCACCACTTTGGCAGCAAAGTTTTGGGCTGTTTTATGCACCACTGGACGTGACAGGATTGGATGATCGAGCTCAACCCACACATGGTCGATAGGGCTATGGTCTAGACAAAAGAAAGGCCATGGTAGGAGTTAAACTGTGACTGCGCTCAAGATACTGGGTAATCAATCTGGCGACATGAGGCTGCGCAATTTCATGTTGAAACAGAGGTATCTCTGGGTGTCCATTCAGAAACAGCCTCGCTACTGGCTCCAAAATTTCATCATTGTACTTCTGGGCATTGATGTTACCATTTATGGCTAGCAGATCAGTAAGGTCAATTGCTGTGATACCTGCGCAGACCAGGATGCTGACCTCCCCATCTGTCGTGATCTACGAAATTACAGTCAAAGAATCATTCACCACGACGACGATAAACTCAAACTTTTTGGTCACAATTTACCAGGAAACGTGATTCGTCAGGGAATTCGCCTTTAGCAGAAGCACCCCTTCATCGGTTGAAAAGAGCCATATTTTCGGAAGTGTTCATTTTGTTGGGAAAGATGCTACTGTAACGCGTGCATTTCATAGTCGTTGGGAACCAGCGAGGTTCATTTCGGTCAAATTGACTAAGTCATGGCATTCTTGTGTCTAGTCTTTTTTTCTGGGAAAAAAATTGGTTCTGGAGTCCATGAACTATGAGCCATCACAAAAACATCTGGAATCCTGTGAAAACAAGCGATTAATTGAAAAATTGTCAGACCAGTATCTTCGCGCTCAATGAAGTATATCACTCAAAAACTTTGTACAGTATCCACTATTGTATTAACAACGATTGAAAATACATCACCACAGCATTAGATAGACATATTATCAACTTGTATTACTTTTTGGCCAAGCCTCCAACATGGGTGTGAATCCCGGGGGATGGGAGGTTGGGGTCGGCTATTGAATCACTCAAAGACAGAAAACAAATGTAAAAAAGAAGCATGAATATATCATTCTCATGAAAGAGTCTGCATGAATGTAATACATATTCAAGATGTACATCTGTATCATGAACATCACCCCTTGTAGTGTCATATGGTCCCCTACCCCCCGACCCGCTTTTTCAAATTTCCATGGCCAGGCAAGTCATCCCCTCACAAATCCCCAACTCCCATATTTCCATCAGAAATTCACACCACTAGAAAACAACATTCTGGTAAAAATGCTGTGTGAAATGTATCCAAGTCCCCATTGGCCAACGCCTTTGCCCATTAGCACATTGCCCTTTGTTCTGAAACTGGATAACCCTTATCTTGGAAACTAAACCCAATATTTCCTCTAGAAGTTCTCCTTGTGAAACATGAACCCAAACTTTTGGCAGTGTTTACTGATGACGGTTCCCAAAGCTGGTGAACCGCAGAAGAACACCGACACCTTTCCTTTATCCTCCTCCTGTATCTCCTTGAAGAGCTGCAATTAAACAAGAGACAAAAAGGAAACACTTCATGGTTTATAAAATTTGCGTTTGCATGACTATTGATATAAATTCTTACATACAATATTCTTCCAATTCTGACTCTATAGAACATTTCAAGATCCAAAGTCGTTGGCAAAGTGTTATCCCATATCTGTGAATTAATTTACACTCATACTTATCAAAACTTTAAATACTAATCTTCATCTAATACTAATTTGGCCATTTGTGATCAAATTTTTCCTCTCGTAATTTTACGTCACGTTGGGATGTTAGAAAGATAGCAGTAAAACTTCGAGCACATTTGTCATCCAAACTTTACTCTCAACCGTAACCCAATTTAAAATTAATCCCAACTTTCACCAGCCAGCCATAAACAAAAAAATGTTCCTGAGATATGTCCCCACAGGGAAGCCAAGATACAATTACTTAATACCAAAGAGGTAAAATACATTTACAAACTACATTCTGGTGAAAGGAAACGTATCAAAATTAAACAGCAAAATCAGTATCTCGGTTCCCTTTGCAAAGAGAGTAATTTGTACACTCTATATGTTGCTCTAACTTTTGTTCTTTTTCACCTTATTCCAATCTGGTCTTCCAGCCTGTAGCTTGGTTCGTAGTCCAGTCAACATGTCCCTGTTTTCCTGCTTATGGACTAAGTCTAGTGCCATCTGGAGGCCAACATTCTTCATGTCGAAGCGTTTAATGCCTGTCATGAACAAGTGGATATCCAAGAAGCGATCCAAGGAGTATTGACTCTGCCCTTGCTCCAGATTCAACAGCATGTCTACGAACCACTCGAAGGCCGTGTGGTTTCGATTCAACCAAATGAAATCCACCTGCCACAAGAAACCTAAATTAGAATTGATACTAACAAAATACTCTACATGAATATTGTAATCAACAGCAAAGATCAATGAAAAAGAAGTTTGACAACGAAGTGGTACGAATTGGCCATGCAGGAACCACACCTGTATTGTCCACGTCACAATGGTACTTCGGTCGGTGAGCTACTGATCATAACAAGAATGGGCAATCATGGTCAGTGACCGGTAGAATGAACTGTTTGATTTGGTTTGTGAGTCATCAATTTGAAGGTTGGTTTTTCTGTCAGTTCCTCGCTTGGTTGCTTGTGTATCCTGCAATTTATTTCTGAGTAAAATATAAAGACTCTCTCGATTACCGTGTCTTACAAAAGTTCGCCAGTTGTGTCAGCTTTTTTGTTTTCCGCTTTCTATGAGCTTTAATCACAAATCGGACATTAGGCAATTCATCCTTAATCAGTTTTTTAATTTATTGAACACTCTGGAATGAGAAAGTGCTCAATACTTTTGGCTATAACAAGCATTTTCTGAAATATTTGTCACATATGGCAAAAAGAGGGTATGCTCCTTTCTTCCTTAATTTGGACTTGCTGGAGCACAAAGACAGTTATCCCCATTTAACACATGACTGTAAGATTTTTAAAAGGGATAAAAATGGCCCACCCGCAAATAAGGTAAATGATGGCTCCTACCTTCTTGACCCTAAGAGCCCGTTTCTCTCGCTCCTCTTCCACCCAGGTATGTTGACAGTTAGGACAAGTCGTAACAATACTCCGATGTCTGCACATGATAGACTGCATGATGGAAGCAAACGGAGTGACACCGATACCAGCCCCGATCAATACAGCGTGCTCAGACTCAAAGACGCTGGTGCTTGGTGTCCCGTAGGGGCCTTGAATGTGGACCTACAACAGGCAAGCAAAATTCTTCATTCCATTGAAGTACCATTACTGCCTAAAGATTTGAATTCCTTCCTTATTTAAATAAACACTCACCTCTCACGGTATTCTATCAAATAAGATGTGTAATCTAGGGACTGCTCAACAAACGCAATCCTGATTGCTGACAACACTTCAGGGTTTAAGAAATGCCTGGCATATTATTTGAAAACAAACTTTCGTCTCCTACTTACTTGTATCTTGTTCGTCTTTATATCAAATAGGACCTGTGGTCTGAGGCTTTCCTTGGAGACTTGTCGACTGAGGTATGCAGTGGGCCCAGTTGAAGTCATCATCCTCGGACTAGTTTGTTTCACTGATTCATTTCCCTTACAGAAGGCATGTCTCCCGTTCTTTGATGCTCCTTCAGTTGACCTTTCAATTTCAGGAACGGTCGAGGTATCCTCACTCTGATATTTATGGATGAAAATAGACTTCCCGTTACAAGTAATTCACACTTTCTATCAGTGTAAAGTATTTTTAAAAAAGAGATTACTTCTGTCACAAAGTTTGCCGAACTGAATTTGTCTTCGGGGAATATGTTTTAGAGGACAAATTATTCGGAACTCGTACTGTATACTAGCCTGCTGATAAAAATAACGTGTAAAATCTCAACTCTGACCTCTTCTCCTATTTCTTCAGCTACTTTTCCAACATCTGCCGACTGGTTCTCATGTCCTTGGTCTACTTTGATCTCGCTTAGTTCCACTAACTCCTCATCAACCTCTGGAATCCTGCTAGGGAGCGAGGTCTTCTTCCATTGTACAACGGTTTGAGGATCAACCTCGGCGTTGAAACTAACTCGGCAGACTTTCATGACAGGCGGTGATTCTACTTCGTCGAGACTCGTGGGGGAGTCGTCGGTAGCGATCCTGACAGCCGTGTCATCAACAGTGGGCCTGTAAGGATCATCTGACTGTGGTGTACCGTTGAAATTATTGCAGTCGTCTTGTGATATTTCGAACCCAGCGTTGACTCGCTGATCGGCATCAGACGGGCTTTTCGGACACTTTACTCCCAGAGACTTTTTAATCGTGATGGACTGCATGCCATCGAAGAAACGGTAGAGGCGCATGGTCCAATTACCAACAGACCGAATATGAAGAGACAGAATGCCTATCAAAAAAACAATATCATCTCAGATAGTAAAGAAACCTTTTCCATGTAGATATTCCATGTAGCATCGCGTAGGTGTCCTTAGGTTACCACTCATGTAATTAAGTGGCAAATATGAACTCATTGAACACATATCAGCATTTTGCACAATGGGTTCGATTTGACCTCGTCAATTTTGATTCAATCTGACCCGACTTGATTTATTTTATTCATTTCCATTGCATACACAGTGCAATCACTTTTATTCATTTTACATTCCAGGCGACACGATTTCTTTCCCATCACTTTGTCTGAACTCGGCACAATAATTTAGTTTAACTCTATTTCTTGCGGCAGTACTACGGTTGGTATCGATACTGACCTGCCTGTTCCGGAGCACTGCTAATCGTAAACGGGTGCCACTCGTTCCTCGCTATTTCAGGAATCTTGATAAAAACGTAGTCCCCAGCTTTGTACTTGAAGTTACGCGGCTTGGTCATGACCAAATGTGTTACCTGAAAAGAAAATGCACTGGTCGTTTCAAATCCAAATATATAAAATTAATGCATGTCTTTTTAAGCTGACATCTATCTTAATTGAGTGAGCTTTACTACAAGGTTCAATTACCTGGCATCTTATGACATTTGTAGGGACATGTGACCCAGTCGTTGAGATTTGTGGCTCCCAGCTACGGGACTGCGGTTAGTATCAAGCTCTTAGCATCAAGACATAATGTCACTTTGGCCCTCTGTACCTCTCCCAACCCAAACGAAAGAGTGTCTGTGAGGGTAGATATTGTGAAAACCTGCCTGCACCTGACATGGCAGTATTGGCCAAATACTACCAAGGGAGCTGAGATGGTTTAGCTAGAACTATTCAGATGCTATGAGCCCATCAAACAGGGATATGAAGGATAAAATTAGATGATTTGCGCCTGCATATGGTATCATTTAACAGAACGATAGTATTTTATGGACAATACACTCAATGGCTTAAATTTGTGCTGGAAATTGGAGGGTGGAAAGTGGGGGGGCACATGAAAATTTGAAAAGGGTGTGACACAATATGACTATATAGATGTCGATGTTAATGGTTTTAATGTTCATCTGTAATATATATTCAGAATGACATATTTATGCCTGTTTTAGTTGTTCTTTATTTTTTTTGAATGATAGGCCTCTAATGAACACATTTTAGTCCTTGGAAGTCTGGCAAATTCTTCACCATGCTCTTTAAAGTTTTTGCTCACAAAAAGTGGGGGATGGGGAGATTCAATGGCCTATCAAAAATTGGGGGATATACCCCAATCCCCAGGATTTACCCTAATGGACACACGTAACCAGGTACATTGCAAAGTTGCACCCTTACATCTACATGACGTAAATAGCAAGTGAGTCTCCACACATAGATACTCACTCCAGAGGGCAGCAGGTCTACCTCCTTGATATACGTCTTCCCATGACGAAGGCGCCGGATGATTTGAAGGTTACTGAACTTCTCAAGAAGAAAGAGGATGAGTGGACCAACAAACCACGCCCAGAACACTGGACCGTGTAAGATTAGCAGGAACCAGAAGAGAAAGTAGCAGATCTTGTGAGTCCAGTAGAAAATCTGTTGTAATATGCACACCAAAATATGGCTAAAATATGAATAGTGCGGAGTCATTTTGACCCACCAGAGAGATCTCGTATTATCAGACGGCATTAAAGGTAGCAAACCACTGGCATTATTAAGCAATTTCATGCTGTTGTTAAGCACAAAAATTACAACATGCCATGAAAGGATATATCACTTGGTGTTTGTGATGGATGTCAATCAAACCCATGGACTGTGGCAAAATCTTTCGTGCATACGTGTGTAGGAATTAGACCTACCTCAAAATGTCCAGAACGTCTTACGTAGCTCAGTGATCCCAAGATAAGAACCAATAAGACAATGTCTAGGATCCAGCCCGTGATAAAGGCACTTCCAACAAGCTTGCCCACCCGGAGCCCGACTGGAAGGAGGGTGGGGTCGGTGAATAACAGTTCGACTGCTGTGAAACTCTTGTATGTCTGTAAGATCACTGTCGTAGAAACAATGTAACTTTTGTCGTAAAAGCCTTTTGTATTAAAGATTTGGGGACTCCCGTTTCTTGGACTCCCTCCCCCCATCAGAGCTGACTATTGGTTCAAATGTTGCCTCAAATTGATTAAGATAGACGTCGTTTTAAAATGACGAGTTTCTTCCTTGTCTTGAATAAACTCTGACATAAGCACAGCAAACAAGCCATTTTAAAGTTTCGCTACAAACAATTTTGCTTAGACAAATTCTGTATTCTTCAACTTTGTATTTTCCTTCTAAAGTTGAAATGTCTTTACATTCCTAATAGGTAACGTGCCTTGAGAAGTGCGCTTTTTCAAACAATTAAAATTATCCACGACATTTGAGGGCGCTAATGCTGTGAAGTCATCTAGGGAAGACATAATTTAGTGCAAAAAGGGTTTTTATGGCGTGCAAAAATAACATTTAATCTCTATCGCGCAATATAGATATCTCCATAAGTTTCCTCGTCCGAGTTCAGCAGGTTGCTCTCGACATTTTGTGTTATCTATTATCTTGAGGGGCTTTGATCGTGTCTCAATACTTGTACTCTCGGGGTTGTTTACATTTGGAAACGTTACACAACCTTCTGCTCAGTTAAATTTTGTACGTTACGTTACAATGACCTTTCCGTTGACCCAGTGTGCGGGACCGGCATCATAATAGAGATGTCTCCATTAAAACAGGACATACAATAGAGATATCTCTATAAGAGATTCTATAAGAATTAGACATATCTATATACGCAGATTAAATGTTTACTTTGCACACCATAGTTTTCTGTTCAAATTGTGAACCCAGAGTTTACTAATATTAAAAACATTTGTGGGAAAGGGATCGAGGCTTGCTTATTGCCTTGCATATGAACAACAATGAATCAGCTAAGATGAAAAAACTGAATCCAACAAAATCTTCAAATTACAGGACATTTTGTACAATCCGACGTTTCATTGAGGCTTTCGTCCTGAGATGACATCACAGTTTTCCTCATGAATACGTAAAAACTCATTAGCTTAAAATAAATAAGGCAGCAAAACACCCTTTCAAAAAGTTAAAAATAAGGCTAACCGTGACCAAAATATTTGCATTTTGAAAGTCTGTAAACAAATCGAGTGCAGCTACCCTTAAACGTGCTGCGAATATTCAGCACTAAGTCTGTGTAGGATGTCTCCCCCCACGACAAATCTAGCTCGATGCAACGTTAATGGTAGAAGTATACCAGCATGCCTGATTTACAATCAGACTTCTTAGGTGACCAGTGTACATAAGATCATCAGTACTCACATGCATTGCCGACATGACCCAAGGTGTGTGCGAGTGCTAGGATTGCAGCCAGGTACCCGATGAATTTGTGAAACATAATGTTGTCGTCAAAGGGTAGGATTTGCATCAGCAAGGTCGACGACCTCAGAAAACTCAAAGTTTTACGAAGCATCATGAGGACGATAATGGCGCAGTTGAAGTTCAAAGCCTGACCACAACCACGAGCTTAATTAGGAATCAACGTTTTGAAGAAAAAAGCAATAAAAACTACAAATTCATAATGTCCTTATTACCCAAATCGTTGCTTTGAAAATGACAAGCACGACAGGGATTTCACGAGAGTTATTCACACTTGTTCATAGGAAACCTTACCGTTGTATATTTCAAAAAGCACTATATAGGGTGTCTTTAATAAAAATAAAAACCGAGACAAATTGTTTGTTTCTTTAATGTGATTTGTTATTTTTGTAAAAAGTGCTGATCGTCTGTTTTATTATGACGTCCTTTTTCGTATAACGCCAAGAAATCCTAATTTCCGTCACAGATGACTGAGCAAAAAGTGGCTCAGTGGCTTTTTACTAAATGGATGTTTTGGTGTTGAATTCAGTGATGGCTTCATTGTCCGAACTACGTAATTTTGGCTGGAATCCCCAAATTGAATAATACCTATTTGAAAGCAAAAAAACGAGGGCAGAAGTTCAAAAACTGGGACAGTGGCAAGAATAAGCCCCTAAGTAGAACCACGGTTGTCTTTGAAATCAATTTACTTGACTGCTTTTTGCTTATTCTTTAGAAAGCTTCCGAATTCTTCAGAAACGCTTCACGCTGGGCAAACCTATGATGCGTGTGGTGTAAATTCATTTCTGACACGGTCGCGGTTTAAATTTGGGCTCATTCAGGTGTGACAGAATTGTGAATTTCTTGATATCATAAATATTGGGACATCATATTCAAACAGAACATGTTTACCATTTACGAAAATAATCAGTCCCATTCAAGAATCAAATTAATTAATTTCTGTTTCGTTTTCAACCCTGCTGAACAGTTGTGTCCCGGACTGGCGGCTTCTGTGGACGCCAGTCCAGACGCCGTGTGATTATTGTGGCCCTCATTCCCTTTCAGATGCACTTATATGGGTTTGACCTTTTTCAGTGAGTGTCCCTTCATAGTCTTGACTCAAGTCGGGATCTCCTTTATCCTTTGGATCATAGAATTATTTATAAAATGTAACTCTATGCTCGGGATACATATCGAGACCGAGCCCCGTTACTTGCTTCGCACCCTCTTGTGTCCACTTATTACTACGAGTCCAGTTCAGAAATCCCGACTTGACGAATCTGCCAACCGTTTGTACACAGCCAATGGGCTCATCTACCAAAGGTGGTAGCAGCCAATCAAATTGCCGGACTGATTTTTACGTCGTTCACACCTGCATCATAATGAACGAGTCTACATGTTTGACGACTGTGATTGGTGGAAATTCGGTAAACATTATGCAAGATTATGTCGTTCACATGCAATCATGAATAACTACATATTACCGGGGTCCAATTGGCTCATCCGTCAAGTTGGAGTTACTGACTGGTGACGTATGACACACGGTGTACAATAAAAACTATCAAATGAGGGCGCCTTATAAGTGTTATGCGAGCTGCCGGGCCGAGTGCGATGACGGAGTAGTACGTACGGACTGAAAGTATGTCTGTCTGAGGAAGAACAACGTAAGTCCGACTTGATTCAAATCTAGCCCCTACACATTGAAACCCCCCCCCCAAAAAAAAGTCAAAGAAAAGTCGGAATATCTTTCTCCCCATTCTGTCTGGATTTCAGGGTGGGGCTGAACAAGGGCCGAGCCATGTGCTAAGCAACAATCAACAATCAATCCACATACCCCCACCACCACAACGAAATTATCCAAACGCGTGTCTAAAAACATCTTAGAAGCCGACTGGCAACTGACAAATCACGTGAAAGGCCTTGGCTTGCCCTTGCGCCGCCCTGCAGTGTGTAAATAATGCCATTGAATTCCTACGGGGTATGTGGCTGAGACGTTTACACACAGTTCCATGGGACTTGGGCCAAGACGGCAGAACTCGATAGCAGACTCGATCGAGCATATGCCGCGCGCCGATTTCTGTTGCACCCTATCATGACTTCATTTCACCAATCGACGGCTTGTTCTACCGTCTTGGGAATCTTCAACAACCAAGGCGTGGTCTTTGTATGTAAAATAGTAGTTTAATATGAATATTCACATTGACCCTAGGATGCAAAAAAGGATACAAGACAGACTGTGAGAGCGCTGGAGGGGATTCGCATCAATAGCGTCAGCTTGTTATTTTTTTCAGTTCCGTTATAGGAAGTCTTTTACAGGCTTACGTCTTTGGTCCAATGAATCGACCGCGGCCATTATCAACGGCGACAGAATTGGTACTTTAGTAGTACGCTTAGAGTCGCGTAGTAATGCTTGTATATGTACATGTGTCGATTGTATCGCCTGATAGGTCATGTGATGCAGGTCATTAACCCTAACCCTCCTCAATCCTTCACCTGTTGGAGGATTGAGGAGGGTTAGGGTTAATCTACATACATCACATACAGATTCAACTGGTATTTGCTGGACGCTGATTGGTTCCTCCGGAAATCCGGAGGAGAAGTAAAGCTAAAAAACCCCAGCTTGTAAACGATTTTCAAGACTGCAGAACGAGCCGTCGATTGGTGAATGAAGTCACGAGAGGGCGCAAAAGAAATCGGCGCGCGCGGCATACGCTCGATCGAGTCCACCATCGAGTCCTGACGTTTTGGCCCAAGACTACATGGGACTCGGCCAGAGGCCGGCCCCAGCATATTTTTTGTCTGGCTAATGGGAATGCCTGACTTTAAAGGTGACTAAACCAGGCCGTAGAGGTAGGATTAGGTAGGAAATGATTGCGGATGGCCATTATTTTTTTTAGTTAAAGCAATTACCCAAAACGGCGTCCACAATTAGATGTCAGTGCTCTCTTTGCAAGGTTCTAATTAAGACACCCTGTAGAAAGGTAGCATTTGGTTTATGCAGCCACGCCATGCTTTTATTTTTCCTTCGACTCCATTAACCAAAGGAAATTCAAATCTGGAATCAAGAACCCTTGTGTGTTAATATAATAAATCTGTGTTATTAAAGAAACGACTTCCTGTCGACAAAAAATGTAAGCTATACAGGAAAAGAAGGCCCATCAAAAGGTCACATTATAAAAGAGCCTACCAATCAGGAAACACCAGTTAGCATCAGGGTTAAATGAATGGCGGTAGGCGGCCTCTGCAAAGACCACACCAGTCACGAGGATTATGGTCAGAAGTAGTGCGATTCGTTGGATATTATTCCGCAAGTAGTTGACCCGTAACCAGGGTATACCTCTGCAACCTCGTCTCTTGGGTCTAGTGTCTTTAAGCCAAGCTGCTGCACTATATCATAGTATGAACAATAAGATAAATATGCAGTGTGAGATGACAATACGATAATTAGGGATGTTCGGTGTATACAGCTTATAAGTCTGTCGAAAGTGCTTTGATCTTACCCGATTGAGAAATTTTCCAGCAGATCTGGGTACCGCTTAAGTGCTGTCATGAACTCATCGAATGAGATGGAGCCATCGCTGTTTTGGTCTGCAGTGTTAAACAGCGTTTCGGTCAGGTGATCTACTTTCCGATCACTGAGTTGCAATGAGCTGTCCTCCACTCCCGTCTTCAATAGAGCTCGTAACTCGTCTTTCTCGATGGTTCCATTTTCTAGGAGACACAAAGAGAATTCACATTTTTTTATTTCTTGCTACTTGTGGGTGTAGTTTCATTGTACTATGGGCTAGTGACCACCAATTTGTGTACTGGAAGTATTGGAGAGTTTATTTTTGTCAGTATCGGTAGTTTGGAAGCGTAGGGCAGGGAACAGGAACATTACATTGCTATAATTCTTGTTACGACGTTTTATTAAATTGGGCAAGATGTTGTCACATTGAAGTTTATCTTCTACGTCTGATGAACCTCTTTGCACAATGACTTGACAATCCTCCTTCGTCAAAATAACGTATTTCGCCTCCACAATAATCTCCAAATATCCCCCTTAATGTCGAGACTGACGAGCGCATCAGGAAAGTTCCTAAATCTAACACAAAGCAGACGTAAGTGTGCCCCGACAGACAAGAAGCTTACAGAACGAAATATGTACTATACACAGCTTACGAAGTCAGCACCACTTCTGTTGCACGGAGTCCTGAACACTGACGTTGAGAAGGGAAATGAGCTTAACAGTTTCCATATGAGGTGTCTCAGACGCATACTTCGAATCTCCTACTAAGACATTGTCAAGAAGACAAACTCCTCCGTTCCGTCCAGAGTCCACATTGCAAGTATGTTCTTCTTGCTCCATCTGCAATGAATTCGCTGGCTTGGACACTTCCACCTCATGGAGGGTACACAGGAGAGCTTAGGGTCTGTCAAGCCGTACCTACATCTGCCTATAGGATGTAGAAAAAACTGCCGCCACCGTGTGGGATGACACAGCAAAGCCAAACGTCGTGGTCAGGCGACAAAACAGATAGACAATCGGCCAGACTCCATATGTCATGTGATGTCACCTCTTTACAAAATAACAAATCACGTGTGAACGAATGTAAAACCTGTCCTGAATATGCGAATAAACGAAGTATTTCAATTTGTCAAAAACGTTGCTGCAGTGATCATGCAACTGAACCTTGTTGCGCTACTGGGAACATGCTTTCATTTCTCGAGGTGGAGGCAGATGATAAACAATCATTTCCTTTTTATAGCCATTTCACAAAAGAGGAGTTTTAACGACAATTGATTTGATTTAATTTATTACTGTAAATAAAGAAATACAACAGAATTAGTCTCGGCTCGAATGAGTACAAACGAGAAAAATAAGATAAAAAGCACATTCCACTTTCCCATTGCCCAATAGTCGACAACTTGCTTGGTTTATTGTTACAGTAGGATAAATGCTATTGCAAAGCTTACTGGTTAAGCTCGCTTATTATGGGAAAACGAATGGAAAGGATTTTACAGATGGGAAAATTGGTACAATCATTTCAGGGGAAAAAAATTCCGCTTGCCCATTCCCGGACACAATAGGCCAATAGGAATTTTACAGTAAATCTGCACTCCAGACGTATCCTTTAGAAGTAGACCCATGAATACTGCATTATGTTGATGAAGAATCCTATGGTTGAATTAATTGTTGATCCCTCTTGTGAAACAAAAAATACAATCCATGAAATTTGTGTCCTGGAATTAGCAATATGCTGTCGGAAATGTCATTTTGCCATCAGAAGCAAAAGAGGACGCGTTTTGTTGGAAACATAAATGTACAAAATAGAAACTGAAGCCACAGGAAAGTTGGCTAAGCCTTACCGTCTAGGTCAAAGACGTCAAAAAAGAACCGGAGTTTTTCCTCTCTGGTTCCCTTGTTAAGAAGAAAGAGACCGTGCATCATTTCTTGCTGGGAGATCGTCCCACTATGATCGTAGTCGAACATATCGAAGAACCGGTCGGCGAAAAATTCCTGCCGTATAGTTAGACAAACCAGGAAATAAAGACTTTATAAAAGGGTGTCTTCGAAATTTCAAGCAACTAATGAGCAGTGACTTTCCAATCGTTAAAGTGAATATTAAGCCCCAGGGAATTGATTAAATTTAAGATTAAAAACCATTTCACTGGTAAAAAAAAAGAAGATAACCGTTGGTACCATTTTGGGAGGATCCAAAAGAAAGTGTACACAACTAAATAGCTACCTACATTGTTTTACATATGTTTCAGGTTTTCTTTTGATCTTTGTCCAAAGTCACCACAAGGATGCTTTACAAGCTACGTCCAATCCCAGTATTCCAGGTGGTTTTTAGATTTTAGCCATAAATCAGAACAAACAAATTAAGCCACTAACATTTCGTAAGTCCAAAGCATTCTTGAAGCTCTCCCGGTCGATGTCCGTGTCTTTGCCCGCGATAGACGCAAAGCGTGACTCTGCCCACACCAGCCACTTTGCGTCGGCGTCCAAAACATTTCTATGATAATAAAGATGAAAGATGCAACCAGCAGTGGTTACGAGAAATCAGTAAAAATGTGTGTTGTGCGTGACTTCAGCATAACCCGTGACACACGGGTAATGCGTTACGTTATTTACTGATGTACAAATAATAATCCTTATACAATATAGTTTTTTTAAACGTTACCTTCCATCTGGAATAGTTTTTCGTCAGCGACACTGTTCTTTCTTCAAAAACTAATTTCTCATCAACACACACAAAGCAAAACAGGAAAAATGAGCATTATTACAAGCCACTCTTCTGCAGATATTTGACGATAATACGACTTTACCTAGAAGACTAATAGTTGACCGCCGACGAACACGTTATACCTAATATACATTTGGAAGTGTAAAGAAAGACAAGTTTTAGTCACAGAAATCTTCATTGCCACTTTTGATCGTTTTCAACGACGCTTACGTGATATGCCATTGGTACTGACTGTTGGGACGTGTGAGGGCTTGTATATATTCTGGTTAACAATGACTAGCAAGCCATTTTATTGTTTAGTGCGGGCTAACTTCTCATTGTTGGAAACCTCCACTTAACGACGTATCCGAAAGGCGCAAACAAAGTTTGACTTTAATTTGAAAACATTTTATGTGTCCAAATCACTCATGTTCCTCGGAAGACACCCTTAAGTAAGTGGAATTAGACTGAACTAAAACGACCGTTGTGAATTCATAGTGTAAGTATTGACCGCCGGCAAACTGAGGGCGGTCTGTAGCTTGCAACAAGCGAGCTCATTCACCTCATAAGAGGTTGTAAAACAGATGAAGATGATGAGAAAATTACCCATCCCAAATATCTATCTGCAACACAATGGTAGAATTTGTGATACATTTCGCAGTTTCCAGAAAAATGAGCTTGGAATGGTTTCTTTATATAAGAAACATTCTTGTATGAAAAACATTTCAGTGTGTGGGAATTGATAATAACTTAATTATGTTGTGGAATTTGGACGTCAAAGGCAAACGTCCCGAAATTTTGAGCAAGATTGGCTATTAGCCGGCCCAACGCATGAGCAATGTAATAAGCGGTGCTAGTAAGTAAAACTTTTTCAAAAATACCTGGTCTCATGGTCTCAAACTCCCATACGAGCGTTTTCAATAGCTATTGGTACCCCACGGTTTCTCTCATGGGAAAATTGGATTGAAAAAAAGACAGTTTGTGTTACCGGATCTTCCCCGCAAAAACTGGTTTAAAAACACATAGTGTTACGACCCCATAAAAATAACAACCCTGTAAGTCACACAGAGTAGTGACTTACAGTTCTCAAAGTAAGAAAAAGCCTGCTTAACCATGCCTTAGCAACTGTTGCTACAATGACCTCAAATATTGCAACAGTACAACTGGTGGCTTTTTCAGTTGGGTAGACAAAGTGACGAACTCAAAAGGGATCGGGAAAACAATCAAGCCTGTCTAGACGTTTAGTGCTGCGAATACAAAGAAAAACCCTCAACCTGTCGCTTAGCCAAGATTTTCAAAGGCCACCTCGCATCCATAACTATCGCTATGCTCGACTTCATCATAAAAGAACTGCAAACGTTCTACCTGTCAGTATGTCCATTGCAAACTCATTTTGTTCACGTTTGAAAACTTTGTATTGAGAAAGAAGTGTGACACACACACAATTAAAAACCTTCTATCTCGCTCTAATCCAGTGGTGCGCCAGGGGGCGCTTAAATTATAAGTTCAGGGACACCAGGGAATTAAAGATAAGGAAATAATAGTCAATGTATACTATTTCCAATAAGGTTTCCAGAAATTTCGAAGTTGCATCATTTTTTAGGTTCTTTTTAAATGTTAAGGTTGATAAAACTATAATTTACGTTTAACCTTACTTAATTCCAATAGTAGGTAGTAGGAGAGTTCAAGACTGTTCCCCTCCCCTGAATACCTACCCCACCCCTCTGGCGGTAAAAACAAAATGAAAAATAATCATTATGCTACCTGACATTTTAATTAAAAAGTGAAAAATATTTCTAAACACATAAACCAAACTAGAGATGCTAGACCTAGAAACCAACGTCAATTGGTACTTTTGTAAAGACACAAATAATTCCGTCAACATGGCAGACGCTTGCAATTCAAAACATTGTGTAAACTCTAATAATATTAATCAATGTAATAACTAAGAATGTAATTATTGCAAATCTTGCGACGAATGCAAAACTTGTGGATATTGTAAGAACTGCGATGTTTGCGAAGACTGCACCATCTGTGTCAATTGAATAGACTGCATCGATTGCGATAAATGCGACAGTTGTGGTTGTACCAATCGTGACTTGCATAGAATGCGATTACTGTAGCGATTGTGATTATTGCATCAACTGCAAATTTTTAAACGGTGTATCGTATTTAGTATTTTTGTACGACAGTGACAGCGGATACGATTGTTACAAAGGATGAGATTTAGAAAATAAGACGATTCTGACCCATACTTTTAATCTAACTTAGATGGAAAAGCAGAAAAACTAGGCTTAATAATTGAATACGACGAAGATGTAGAAATAACAGCGTCTTCTCCAGAAGGAAGTTTACCCTAATACCCATACGCACATCTAATAGATCAAGAAAATTAAATTGTTTAACCTATGGTTTAACTCATAAGAAATGAAAAAAAAATCTAATAAAAAAGCAGAACCATGTCAAATCAAACTTATATCGTAATCAACGAACACGAACGCCTCAATGCCAACAGCACAGGCCCAACTGTTGTATACGGACCCTTTGACCCCGACAGACTCGTGATAGTAGACCCCGTAGTAAAAAGGAGTGAAAAACATACTCAACACTACTCGAGTGCCCATTTTTTAATAATCACGACGACAAAGTAAAACGTCTGTTGATTATGATGCCAAAAACAATCTGCTATGGTGTAAATCCGGTCTATAAATTTGGCGACACAGAAAAAAACCCAAAAATACCATAGGAGATCAAATCTGCTATGAACTTCAAGATTCTACGATAAATATACTCGATCACATAAACTTTGAGGCGTACAAATAGATCGGCATGCAAATAGATAAAAAGTCTGACATTCCACCCAATACGATCAATGGGCCAGTCGCAATATGGACAAATTGAAGAAGTCGAATACGTGATTAAATCGCCTTATACAGATAAAAAGCGTATGTATGTCAAGTTACATACCGCGACCACGCTGTTTGATCATCATAAAAATCAAATATCGCAAGATTAACTCGACAAATATATTGGTGAACGGTCCGTTATGCATTCGTTGATTTGTCCCAAAGACGTGTACTACAGTACACATTGATTATTGCCTTGCAGTGCCAGTGTTAGATATAGAGTCGAAAGGGCCATTTTAAATAATAACAATGCTAATATCATTTCGGATACAGCAGCATTTAAATCGTTACTGGGATTTGACAGTGATAACAGCGACTCAGAGTAATTAACATTTTAGTGTTAAGGTTATGTTTATTTAGCCCCATTATCCTTGGGATAGAGAGGTTATTTTATGCCAGGACACCTACCGGAAAAGAATCTATCCTATACGTAGCCCAACCGAGGTCACCCTTTTGACGGAATTGTGTGCGATTATACTTTCTGTTTGGATATTGTAGTGCCTCATATATGTGTGATTCCATTGAGGAAGTGAATGCATTGTGTTGTACTGTAAAAGTCACAATGGCGAATGCAGTTGACGTTTGTGTCTTTTATCAGTCTACAATTACCACTCATTAAAAATATTAATATACTTACATGCAGCAAGAGAAACAACTGAGTGCTCAGCAATCGGGCAAGCGATTGTCTGTTTGAGGTAACTGCGTATGTGTTTTTAAGGACAGCTGTTAAAATAATTGTGCAGTTGGAAAACAACCTTTTAGCGTATCCGAAAAGTGCATGTATTGTGTGGTATAGACAACTAGCAATGCTCTAGGCGTATCCAAAAAATTATCTCTCGAGAAACTTGACCTGCCGTGGGAACATATACATGACTCTTGAACAGTGCAGCTCTATCAAGGTGAAAAGACCTGCGACAACTGTGCAAAGAAACGAATAAGTATTTATTAAAGACGATGACTTGCCATTACCTCCCACCACATTTGGAGGAGTTTTATACTTTGATCAATGAAGAACCTCCCCCAGTAGCATATGTGAAAATAAAAGAGGACACTTGTAAACACGCCAAAAAAAGAATAGAAAACGGATTTGTCATTTGTCACGATTGTTTTCAAAGATTATACCCTTATACAGACTTTGAAGTGGAAAATGTAAGCGGCAAACACAATCAGCGTTTTGTTTACAAAAAGCCCAAATCTAAAACAAATAAAGTGCCCA